AGTTGGTAATTATCATAAAAAGTCATATCCTCCCCATGACAAAAACCTAAATACGCCACTGTTCTGGTGCCCGCTGTACATGATGAATACCTCTATAGAAATATCTTTAATTTTAACATAGGTCTCTGTCTGTATTTCTTTTAACGTTTCTATTACCTAAGTACATATTTAACAAAAATATATTAACTAAATTAATAATTAATAATTTATAAAAATAACTATTTCATACCTTCCATATTGAAGGATGAGTACTGTAAAATTGTGCATTATAATGAGAATCAAATGCCTCAGGTCCATTTGTAGTTTTAGGTAAATCTGATGGTTTTTCTGCCCACATCTTTGGAGGAAATAAACAAAATTCACATTAGTGATGCGCAGATGACAACCGGCGATCTTGGAGATCCTGTAAATGACGATGGCAGTATTAGAACGTCTTTATTGCCATCATTAACACCACCACCATCAGTCACGCCATCTTTAAATGAATGTATTCTTCTGCCCTTRACTTTTTTTATTTCTTTTGACAAAATTAGATATCATTTTTTCCGCCATATCAACACAATATTRRTCGAATAATCCTTTGAAATAATGTAAGCTGTTAAAGTCGTCTGTTTTCACAATGAGTCTTAAGACATAAAACTGCGTAGGTACCTACATGATATAGTTTTAGAACTAGTAGCACCATTTTGTTGTAGAATGTTTATGCAGTTTTAATATATACAATAGTCAATAATAATACAAATTTAATAAAAACAATAATACAAATTAATACGTAGGTGTACATCGTTATCTCGTTACCTAGTTATTTTAAAACTATGATATTTTTTACGGCTTTTTAAATAATAAATTCATACATTTCTTATGAATTTTTAAGTTCCGACTTAACCTGTGAACTTTCTAAAAATGTTATATTGTTGACTGTTGTGTTTCCCCAAAATGTATTTCGTTTAGTATCGGTAATGATTATTTTTGATCATTATTCGATTTCATCAACAGACAACAGTTGCTTTGTGACTTGCATGATTGTTGGACGAATGTTGAATCGTTACTGTTAACATTTATAACTTATAGTCTCTTAGTGCTTATTTATTATTTCAATATTTCATTCTTCAACATATGGATTCATATAATTTCAGTGGGCCATTGGTAAGTTCAGTGCTATAGTGATTATAGTGTTAGTGTTATAGTTATTTTGACTTCTAGTATAAGATTTGAAATAAAATTCAACATTTTTAAAGCTTATGCTAATTCTATTGCTTGTCGAATTAATTTAGGCCATACCTTATCATATAAATTACATCTACTAATGACTAGTCGGTTTTTGACCTGTAGAGGTTTAAAACCAGATTTAAAACTCCCAAATAAGACCTGTTCTGTCATAAATGATTTTGTATTCAGTGTTTCCATTATTCCATTTATTAATTTACTRGTAGAGTTAAAGTGTAATCCGCTATCTCCATATTGGTCAAAGTATAAAGGATTATTCTATAAAACAGGTATGGTCATTGGCGTGGTGAACTAAAAATATTCCAGAGGCAACCCCCCATATAGATGACCCATCCCACATGTATTTGCATGTAAATAAGTACAATCCTTGATACCCACCCCCCAATATTTGAAAAATCCCAGAGGCAATTGCCTCTGAAATTACTCTTTGCCACGCCACTGGGTATGGTAGTGGTCCTAAAAGTTAAAAGTAAATTTGGAAATTTACTTATTCATTRGAATATTTGGGATGATTATAGATAAAAGTAGAATCCCATATTTTATTATTAAACCAATGTGTATGTGTACTATTAGTTTTGACATAACATATTTATGTAAATTTGAAATTGAAAATAATTCAAGTTTAAGTTTCAGTTCGGAACTTATTGGATGTTTATTACTGATTTGCCTGATTCCACTCCCACCATTACTAGAGTTTTAGCTAATGGTAAAATATATGTCACACTGAAATATGCTTTATAAAATTGTACCCTAAAAATGTAATTAGCACTACCATTAAAAAAATATATTTAAACTTCACGAATGAAGAAAAAATGTTCTGTATAATAGTATTTGTAATTTATATTTGTAGTGTATTGTTTATATTAAATTAGAAAACTGTATATTTTATTGTTTTAATAAGAAAAATATTTATTACATGAAAAACAGATTATATATTATTTTCAACACCAAAACCTTATCCTTGCATCATTAATCTATTAATGAATTAACTAGTCTACAATACTACAATTATTGTTGATTTATTCAAATTTTTTGTAGAATATTAAATTTTTTAACGACATTAATTTAGAGTACTAAAAGTACCTATAGTGTTTTTAGCAAAAATACAAATTAGGAATGTATTTTAGACTAGATTTAATAGCTGCTGAAATATAATAGGTACATAACTTTGGAGAGTCCAATAATCCTGGAGACTAGTAAATACATCACCGCCAAAGTAGGAAAATAAATATATTATCAGGTACATAAATTATAGGCATACAATTTATATAGGTAAAATCATTATTAGTTATTACTTAATAAAAAATGGGTAATATGCAAAGTTTGTGACATTGATTGTTTTTTCTCGCTCTACTCTTAACTCCTGATAATGAAATACAATCTAATGTCCATAATGAAAGTTTAAACCGTATATTTTTCATACAATCTACAACCCTATAGGAAGTCTAATGGTATAACTTGAGGAATGTAGGTAGGATATTTGTTGGGTAGTTAATGTGAATAACAGAAACGGGTGGCAGTATTGTGATGAACAGTTCCACCCGTTCTTGGTTTGAACAAGGAAAAAAAGAGGTAGTTAATGTGGATGGCGATCTCGGGTTCGAGCCCCGTTAAGTGAGATTAACCTGTTACATTTTTCTAAAGAATTACAATACTTTTTAAGATTGCTTTTTGATAACTTAACACTCCAATCAACTGTTATTGTTATCACATAAAAGTTATTTTAATTTTTTTTGTATTACATGTTATTTTGACAATCAGTGGAATTAGAATAATTTATAATTGGTGTACTGGAAAAACAGTTATAGATGTTGAATTAACTCCAAAATAATTAAAAATTACTACCTCTAAAAGAACTTATATTTATCATACATCTTATGTTTATTCAACACCAAGCTTCTAGTAAGTGAAAATTGTCAACTAAACTGAAGCCACTGTAAGGCATACACCTGGTATTCATAAATTGAACAATATGCCAAAATGAAACATTATCAAAGATCATAGATTTTTAAAATACTACTATGACAAAATGTAAACCAGTTACCAGATTACTAGAATCAGGAAGCAGGTGTGATTGATTTTTTTTATTCAATAAATACAATAATCAGTGTAATAAATAATAATCAACATATAAAATATATGTAGTGTATTTTATACTTCAGTTTAATTTCAGATACATTACATTATGACTGCATCATTGTATAACTTTATCCATATTTTGTTTACATAAAAATGTTGGTGCTCAGAGCTTAAAACACAATAAATAACAAAAAATTAATAAAATTGTTCAAAAAAAGCACATACTTTTAAAATCAATTTTCATCTGTCCACTCAGAACCTAAAATTAAATTTCTATCTTGTAAATAAAAAAAGAAATATATGCTTTAATAATTAATATCAGTCTTATGATTAGAAAAAAATTTTCAAACGCAATCAAAATGAAAGCCAACTATACCCAGCGATTTAAAAAAAAAATTTTTATACAGCATTATTTCAAAATATAATATATAGAAGAATATATATTAATTATTACTTAACTACTTAGCACTCGATAAAAATAAGACAGAAATCTAATTTTTTTTCAAATATATTGATTTAGTTGAATAATCATGTATAATAATGAACAAAAAAAAAAAAAAACTCAAGTCGGGAAGAAATATATAACATAAATCTGCAATGTCTAATAAAAAAATCAAATATATCTTAATATTATGGATTTTACTATTAACAATCAATCAAGTTATTTGTGTTCAATAAACAATCAAATTATATTATTAATTATTATAAATATAAATAAGTCAAATCAATATTAAAATTATTTAATTTTCTAGTTCTTATAATTTGTACTCTACTCCATTTAAACACTAATAATATTAATACAAATATAAGTCATTTGGCATGTAACCAAGAGGTAACATGAATTTAACAAAATATTAATTATATCAACTAATACCCAAGTTTCAATAAAAACAAAAACATTTATTTATGGGTACATAACTCCTATTAATTTCAAAAATAACCTTTTTTGTTCCAAATATTTAATTTAGTAGTGAAAAATGTATTATTCAACAACTTTCAAATACAAACAGAGATTCATCCATATCAGTAAATTCTACAATGTTTGGATTTAGTTTCATAATTTGATAATATTGATTAATTTCCACAAATCTGTATCGGAACAAACATTCGAGAAACCAATCCAAGAATAATGTTACGGCTTTATATTCGCATATCCAACCTAAAAAAAAAATATATGTATCAACTACCTAGATAGTTACCTTGGAATTACATTGTAAAAAAATTATCAATTATCTTACTCCTAATTTCCGTTTTATTGGGTAATTTAGATCGAACATCATTAGATGTAATGATTTTATCAGCCAATATAACTCGCATTTTGTAATCGTCTTTAAACTCCTCCAAATCGTTGGTTAACACAAAACCAGCTCTTTGAGCCCATAACTGCCAATTGCCAAAATAATATAAACATTTATTAATTACAACACTGGGATATTCATGATGATAATTTTTTCAACATTTTTATTTATTGATAAGGTTTTAAAAAACTTACCTAAGCTTTATGGTGTGATAATATTATATTATATAAGTACTWATACTCTGTTCCAAAAGATAAAACACAATTTCAGCACATGTCAAATCATGGTCAATATGAGGCAGACCCCCATTTTCCCCTTCCACTGGCCTTTATTTCGGTACCTGCAGTGGACTCGACAGGTGTGCACTAATTAGTATTTAATTATTAAGAGCGGGCAGTAAGTGGGGTTTGAATGGTGTGAGTACAACAGATGAAAACTAGTTCTCACTTTGTGTCTTCTTTTTTGGAACAGAGAATAGAATAATTAAAAATCTTACAATAATGTCCGTATATGATTCATTGAATTCAATAGAACTATGAAGATATAAAATGCAATTTCTAGTCCATTCCATTGGTGAATCAATAATTCCTCGTCCTACACGCCAAGATACCAATGGGGATGGTTCACCACTAAAATCCAGCGGTATGTAATCAAGCTTGAAGAGAAATATATATATTTTTAAATTGTTTAATATATTAAAACTGTTTAAAAATCATATTGTACCTCTGGTAGTAATTTCTTTGAAGCTAAACAGTTTTCAGCCCACTCCATAGTAATGATAAAGCAGTTTATTAATAATGCATTCATCAATTTTTTTGTACGAATACATCTACCAGTCGGAAGAGTTTTCACAATCAAATGTGTAACGCTATCATCCCACGATATATGCGCATTTAATTCAAACACATCTACCAACTCTTGTAGCACTTCAAGTTCATCATCTTCAACGTTTGTGTATGTGATAACAATATGTTTGTTTTTCATAGAATGATTTTCTGGATTGCTGAGAACAAATGCATATAAGTATTAATGCTTTACATTACCAGAGAATTATATTATGTTACATTTGTGAAAAAATATACTATAATAAGTAACTCTAGTATCTCTAGAAATAATATTTATGGCTTACGAGACATGGCATCTGTCTGGTGTCCCATTGACAACATCATTATCAGATTCGCTGTCACTGTTACTAGTATCTGTGGCTTTTTTTTCATAATTGTTGTCTTCGTTTTTACCGCTCATACTTTGATCTTTACGTTGGAAGTCGACAGCCGAAACAACAGTGGAATCCTTAACTTGTGAATCGCACAATTTTGTCTCAGAGTCAGAACCCGTGTCCCATTCAGCTATGATATCGGGAACGTTCACAGCCTGTATAAAATATGGATAATCCAATGATCAAAAAGTAAAATTAAAATAATCTAAAAATTCSATCAMCATTATCATATTATATTACACGGATACGATATTAATGTGCGAGTTAATATATAGCTAAATTTAACATTTATAGTTATGGTCGACGTTCTGTAGCCATAGAGCAAAAACATCTAACTCCACTACATTAATATCGTTCTGTATGCAAAAACAACATTTAAACGTAAAGGTAAATAAAATATATCGACCGATTTATTCATAGATTTACCGAATCATTTATAAATATTTTTAAGTCTACAAAAAAATATACATAAATACGTTATACGCTTACACTAATATTATTTATTATGGGCGGCAAATCAAAACAAATGGTTAATTAAAATTAATCTCAAATCTCAAACCTAGGGTTTATACTTACTAGAAAAAATATAAGTAAATAACACGACTATCTAGGGTTATATAATATACAATCAGTGGCT